CTGGGAAAGAATTTCTAGGGAAAATTAACAAACGAACAGAGACGTAACAAATTGGTGTCAAGAGTGGGATGGAAAATAAAAATACAAAACAAAGAAGAATATGGAAACGAGAGGTGGCAAATCAAACTACGGCTTAGCAGATTTGATGGCAACAATACATGAACAGCAAAAGAAACAAGAAGAACGAGAAAATAAAAAAGAAGAGAGACAACAGCAGTTGCAAGAAAACCTGCAACAGTAGCAGCTCGAACAGTAAAATAAACAAGAAGAGAGATTACAGCAGTTGTTAGAAGAAAAAGAAAAGAAACAAGAAGAACGAGAAAATAAACAAGAAGAGAGATTACAACAGTGGCAAGAAAACCTGCAACAGTGGCAGCTCGAACAACAAAATAAACAACAAGAGAGATTACAACAGTTGTTGGAGGAAAAAGAAAATAAACAAGAAGAATGAGAAAAGAAACAAGAAAAGGGACTACAGAAAGAAAATAAACAAGAGGAGAGACTACAGCAGTGGTTGGAGGAGAAAGAAAATAAACAAGAAGAGAGTCTAAAGCAGTGGTTGGAGAAGAAAGAAAATGAACAAAAAGAGAGACTACAGCAGTGGATGGAGGAGAAAGAAAATAAACAAGAAGAAAGTCTCCAACAATTGAGAGAAAGCCAGAGTACACAAATGGAAAACATTAGTAAATTTCAAAGTGAATTAAATACATTAAAGAATGATTTATTATCTTTTACACAAGGAGGATATATTAACCATCGACTTAATCAGTCCCAGACAACGGCAGTGGCAAGAAAACCTGCAACAGTGGAGGCTCGAACAGCAAAATAAACAAGAGAGACTACAGCAGTGGTTGGAGAAGAAAGAAAATAAACAAGATAAGAGATTACAACAGTGGCAACTGGAACAAGAAAAGAAACAGGAAGAAAGTCTCCAACAGTTACAGGAAAGTCAACAACGGTGGCAAGAAGTACAAATGGAAAACATTAGTAAATTTCAAAGTGAATTAAATATCTTAAAGGATGATTTACTGTCTTTTACACAAGGAAGATATATTAGGCATCGAGTTCATCAACCCCAGACAACGACAAGCCCCCTTCCAGACCCCGCAGCTAAACCCTAATGCAGACATCTTCAGTCATGTTAGAAGTCACATCCCAGACACAAGTGTCAGCAATATGGGTGA